ACTGCCACGGGTGAGAATCGAACTCACGACCTTAAGATTATGAGACTTACGCGCTGCCGTCTGCGCTACCGAGGCTGATATCCGGAAGTTGACATGTTAGTAAAACTAACCAAATGAATTTTATAATAATTAGTATGAGTTAATTGTAACTTGTAAGTAAGGTACGAATTGTATGAAACAATCAATGTGTACTGTATTATTAAATAAAATATAATATATATTTAAAGGAATTGGTAGCGAAGGGTTTTTAATTCGCAATTTTCAAATTACATGCATGCGGGTTTTGTAAATGTGTGCGTAATAAGATGAGGTCCGTTACATAAGCAACACCATATTCAAAAGTCCAAAAAAAAATTATACCAACGATTGTTATTCTGTTTGTACACATTTGTTATTCTAATATAATTATTTGTACCCCCCCCCCCCCCCCCCCAACACCAGGTAATTCGTTTTAATATATAGGTATTACTATTTCAAGTCGTTCATTCGGTTTTAAAATGATTAAAAAAATGTATTACTCATTATAAGTTTGTATTGTTCATTGATTTTTAAGTAAAATATTGTCGATATTATTTGAATTGGATTGCCGTGCTATATAATCATAGTAATGATAAATGATAAACTTATCCAAAATACAGTAAAATAAAATATATACACTGATAATTAATTATGTTTCACACTGATATACATACAAGTATAACACTTTTTTCTAATCACACCTCGACAGCTACAGCACTTGATTTTAACTTATTTTATCTTAATATGTTTATGATGACGTACAATATTACGAGCTTAACTACTCAATTTGCCATAATATTATGGAATATAAAGAAATATAAATTTATCATAAAAAATATTATATAGTTGTTTTTAGAATAACATATTTCAAATTGTAAATAAATAGCTAATTAATAATTATAGATAAATCTAAGTTAATAGGTATATTGGAATACGTATCATACATTATTTTCCAATTTAAGTGTAGGTACTCAGAAAAATATTTACGACTACACCACTGCCTATAACTATTTAGTTGTTTTTCTGCAGATTATTCTAATAATACTTAATATATTTTTGTAAAAATGTCCTTAAATCCGAAAAAAATACAATATTTAATTATATTAGACAACAGTCAACATTACTCACATCAGTAAACACTTATTAGTAGGTATACAACTTATATGAAGTTAATAATACAGTTCAAAATGATTTAAGTTAACTAAATCTTACTAGGTTTGTGCTTATCATTCGTAATTCGTAAATAATAAACTTAAATACAGCAGACAAAGGGCAAAAAAATGAGAAAAAATTATTGCCCCAGGTGAGGATCGAACTCACGACCTTAAGATTATGAGACTTACGCGCTGCCTACTGCGCCACCGAGGCAGTTATTTCCAAAGTTAAATTATCACTGTACTAAACAATAAACATCATGTTGATTATAATAATACAAAAATTATAAAAATCATAATATTATAGAAAATAATGCAATTGTATATTTGTATTGGTTCTACATGTTTACTTATCACGTGCACAGGCCGCAAACTTTAAAATTACTTAGTGCCCATACATTATCATCAGAGAACTATTTAATTTTTTTGCAAATTCATTTTAAAAATATAATCTAAAATGGAATTTGGTAATTTAGGTAGGTACTTATATTTATGATTTTATGACAAATATATGAGTATAATATACTTGGTATAACAATTTGTCTACAGTAAATAGAGTAATAATAAACTCAAAATCACAGATTTCTATGGAATGAGCGACCCATTGAACTATCGTCATTATTTGTTCTAGTCTTCTAGAGATTCTATAATAGGCAACATATTATCTTAGAATTACATTTGTATGTAAAGCGATATGCATAACATGTTTTTATTGAATCTGAAATTTCACTATGGACGACAGTACGACACTGCTCTGACGTTAGTGTTATACTGTAATAGTGTATATTATTAGCTACTTATGGCATATAAAACTGTTTTTCTTGTACTACATCACCAAATTCTGACTTCTCTAATAAATTCCAAGATTCAGGGCTCATTACGGGTACATTTGGAATTTTATCTTTATAAAAATTAAAAACTATTTTACAGCGATTCAGGTATGGCCCGTTTTGAATCGTGCACAACCACTTTCTCCCAGTGTACTCTAACAGTGTACTTACGATGAGCTAAAATGTAATTATGGACAATATTGAACATTGCACTATAATGTACCTATTTTTCCTATACATTCTGCCGCGTGCGCAGGGCAACACAATATATTTGTGCGAAAAATGTGGTATAGCTAGTTATTTAAAGTTATTATTTATAACATATTATTACCTACTAACTGACAACTTTTATTATCCGGCGTTTCCCGGGGCCACAAGGGTCTGGTAGAATAAATATTATCTAAACCTTCCTTAATTTGTCCAAATCGAAATACAAATATTTAATACATAAACCTCATCTATAAACTTTGCCCCCAATATATTATTATAATAACTGTCCAGTTCAGCGATATTCAAATAGGCTTTGAATAGCAATATAATTGGAGCAAAAAATATCCCTTCAAAAAGACGTGACCATAGTAAACAGTGATAAGTGATAGAGAGCAGCCTGTTTTACATTTGCACCCGTTAATACCCATATTTACGTGTCTGTATGATTCTTCAATAATTCTTGAATTTTTTTCACAAAACAAAATTCTACTCACTACATTTCAATTTAATTTATGGAACAAATGCACTTTACCGCGCCCCTCATGAATTTCGAAATTTTTTTTTAAAAAAAGACATGTTTTTCAAAACTGATTTCGAAACTGCTTAAATTTAAGTTGAACAGTTATAGCCTTCCAAATAGGTAGTTTGCATGCGTGCCACACTACTGCCCCGTGAAGCACATAAAACCACATAATCTGCTAGCGTTGCCACTCGCTCGCTGCGTTGCGCTCGGAAAAAAAAAAAGAAAATATCTCTCGACTTGTTTTGCAAAACCACCATGGATAAGCCTCGGAATTAAACAATGTTCGAGATTTTAACATAGTCGATGGCCAGTCTGTTGAACTAACATAAGTATATAAGTATATTATAGTAATTCGCCTACCGGCTCCGGACACCAAACTTGAGTTGCTTCGAGCGGCACTGCGGCAGTGAAGTAGTGTGGCACGCATGCGTATAAACGTAAAATCACATATATTGGAAGACTACAACTTCCAAAATAATGGTTTCCGCAAAAAATTCAAACATTTACGAAATCAGCGCTGAAAAACTTATCTTTCCAAAAAAAATTGAAATTCATGAGGGGCGTGGTGGGTCAAGTACATTTTAGCTTAAAATTGTAATTCTTAAACGTTAAACCAATTAATATAGTTAATAAATCTTAAATATAGTATACATATTATATGAAAATAGTAAAAATTGTATTAATTACCGCAACTCAATGTTTTCATGGCAAGTAGCGGTGTCGATGCCCAAAATCAGTGGCGATTTTTAGTTAAATATTTGTCTTGTATAATTGTATGTAAAGTCGATACTTATCTCTTCAGCAAAAACTTCTATAACTTTATTATTAAAATTTAAAATCAGAAATATTCATAACGAATTTTTTTTTCAAAAGATTTTCTACTGAACTCATATTTGAAGAAAAAATTATGTGTACTAACACTACTAACTACAAAGAGGAAAGAATTCAATTCAGAATGACGGGTAAAATATATATAAACATTTACTATGAAATAATATCGACCATTTGATGCAGAAATCAGATTACAAAATACAAATGGAAAAACCTCAAAATTAATCGTAGATAACGTTTTATTTAAATCGGTTAGCAGTACTAACTACTAAGTAGTAACAAAAACTGCACACCGAGTTGCAATGTATTTAGCGATCCCCACTCGAAAACCATACGTATTTTAGACGGGCGCGCGGTGCTGTCACTGTTGCGCACCGATTGGTGTGTGCATTTCGCCTAACTGTTTTTACTTTAGGAACAGTAATATTATGTTCACGACATAATAGTTGCTTACCGAAAAAGGCTGTAGAATAATTTTTTTTTTAATAGCACACCGATATTTTTAAATAGCAATTTACAAGGGTTGTTAAGTTTTAAAAAAATAAAAAATATTATTTTGATAAAATGGCACGTGGTGCGCTTGCACCTGCGCACCTACGCACGAGCCGCCACTGCCCAAAATGAATAATGTTAATTAAATAATTAATGTAATTGTAATTATATGTAATTATGTTTGACTGGTTCTGGACCAGTGCTTCACCCGTTCGTCCGTACAGTGATGTTCCCTAAAATATTAAACCAACACCTGCATATTCAAGTCAAATATATTTAAGTTAATTGAAAAATACAAATATTTATTTTGTTAAAATATATGTTGTACAATTGTTTTTAATAAATCATAAATGTGTTGACGTAATCTAATACAATGATTAAATATTGATTTATTGAAGTAGGTAATGGGTATAGCCGGTATAGATACCTACTTAACTAATTCCGTGTGATCTGAAAAACTTCCTTATGGAATTTTATGTGACCGAATACCCGCTGTAGTGCGCGATTATAAAAAATGAGGGCAAATCGGTGGCAGTGTGACACGCAAAAAAATGTTAAGGACACATAAATAATTAATAATGTTATTTTAATTATTACATTTTTCAAATATATTTAAATTAAAATGTTCTTTTTAATTATAATAAATTATTTTTCATAACTTAATTTAGGGGAAACAAATTGAGTAATCTTTGTCTTTTGGCACACAAGCACGTAGGTAACGTTGGTATAATTTTCCATCCATCCATTTTATCCTAATTATTATAGTAGGCATTTGAAAAAAAATTGTAAGAAAGTTTTTGACGCGGAAAAATGCTTATCAAAAACGGGAAATTTTGATTGTAAGGGAATATTGGTAATTTGCATCTAACATCACTGAATTGCGATAACAATGGTGGTCAGTTGGCTAGTGTCATCTAGTGGTGTTTGATGATTCACAAGTCACAACAACAACAACAACAACAGCAACAACTTACAAGCAGTGACATACTATAATTACTAATATTGTATAGTTGGTACTTGGTAGTTGTCAGTTGATAGTTGATACTACATATTTACTGACGACGGACGACTAATAAATTGGAACAAAGTCTGGACCCGAATAAAATTCGATCACTGAGAACAATTATTGCTCATTAGTCATTAGTCATTACTCACTGGCTACTCTCCAGTCTCAAGTCTCAAATCTCACTATTCTGGAATCCTGCACTGTTTACAAAACCAGCGATCAGAGTATCAGACTACAATTTCGCATCGAATTTTGACGTTATTTGCCAAATCACTGCCTCGACGAATTAATTTTAAGAATTTCTCTTTATCGGTTAAATATAATATTATTGTAATATCTATACCTAGAATCCTTCCTTAATTATCGTGTATCAATATATTCGATTTTGATTTCGCGATGGAGAAAAAAGGAAACACCGAACATTTGCAGTGAGTTGACGATTTTTTTTTTTTATTATTGTTTTTAATTTTTTCTTCATATCAATACCTTTCTATTATTTCAGATACGAAAATGGCAACTCCGTCACTACAAACTGCAGCACACAGACAACGCAATTTGATGGATTAACCGAGTTGCACCAACCTTCCCACGACACGGCAGACGCTTTTGGTTCATTGTGAGTGATCGCTATTTCTAATTATTTAATTGATTCCCTTTTCTGGTCTTTACACAAGAGACATTTTTCATTAATATTATTAGAAATTATTATAATGTCTGATCAACTTCATTTCTGCTAGGACAGTCCTAGTTTAACTTGTTATCGAATAAAACATTTCAAGGCGATTTACCAAAGTTGATTTGGTTTTGGATCCTCAGATATTGATCCATTCTTATCTAATTTTAATTATACAATACTTATACTAAGTTAAATGGAAATATTTTGCTTAATACATACTTTGATTTGTTGAAAATAATTGATTCAATTTTTCGCAACTTATATTTTGGCATTGAAATACATAATATATATGTATACAGTATATATAGAGTAATGGGACAAACATGGTGAGGACTATGTTAGGCCTTACTCAATTCCCACCATTTTCATCTTACCAAATTCGGAACCCTTTGTATGTAGTGAATACAAAATATTTTAAACAAGGAAGTACTTTTCAATAATACTTGAATGTCGTCATACTTGACATAACAGTACCTATTATGTTTTATTTACTTAACTGGACATATAATTAGTATTTACTTACCTTCTTAACATCTTATTTATTGTTAGTTGATTATTATACATTAATTATCTATAAATTGTATTATATTATGTTATTTTCATGTTAAAAATTCAGAAGCGGGAACTTTCTCAAACATTTGATAGGCAACTGTTTTAGGTAAGCCACTGTATTGTTTAGGCATATTATCAAAATTAGTATTGTATTATTGTTAATATCTTATTATTCAAAAGCAAAAGTAAGTTGTTATAAATATAAAAGATTATATCTGGAAAATGGAAATCGCTAAGGTAGTTTTCTATACCTAGTTAAAATTCATTAATTTAATAACTGTATTAATGTTCACATTTTTGAGATATTTTGATTTAAATATACAATAAAAATAAATCAATTTTTTAAATCCAAAATCATCTTAAGTTAGCTTATTATAAACAGAAGATAGTAAATAAACAATTATGGTTTCTTTTGTATGAACGCTAAGTGTTATCATTGAGTAAATATTGTATATACTATATTATACAATATATACTCAATGATGTTAAATATAAGTATTAAGTACCAATAATCATTAATTAAATACTTCAGTATTATTATCTTTTGTATAATAGCCTTTCCGATTTGAATTTAAATATATTCTCTGTGTAAACATATAGGTGGTAATTTACAATTGTTTTATAATTATAGATTTAAAAGTACACCTCGTCAAGGTTACGGCATTAGTTCAACAGATAAGGATGCATGGTATTACAATATGCATCATAAGTATCGTGGAAAAGCTATAATATTTAATCACGAAAACTTTCAAATTAGAGATCTTAAATCTAGAGCTGGAACTGGATTAGATTGTATTAATTTAGAGGCGTCCTTAAAAAACCTTGGATTTGATGTTACGCCGTATGTTGATTTAACATTAGATGAACTGGATAAAAAACTTGACAATTGTATGTATACTTGTTTATTAAACCTTTTTGATATTATCCAATATACATTTATTATTTATTCAAAATATATTGATTGCCTTTCATATTTTATTCCTATTGCCATAGATTAAAGAACACTATAGATATGCAGTGCCCATACTATATATTATAATCCTTTATTGCTCATTATTTTAATTTAGTTTTGACTTACTAGTTGCACAGTGGCCAGTGTAGATGAGAAATAATCAAATATTGATCTACTCATCTACTACCACTATGCACCACAATGAAGTCAAATCCAAATTAAAAAAATAGGTAAATTTTGATTGCATTGGCATTGCCTATCTATAGTGTTATTTAATCTATACTATAGAATACTATTTTCTTCACCGACAAATTTGATTCGTATTTTATATTTTTTAATTTATTTCTTTTTACAGGGGCTAAAGAAGATTATACCAATTATGATTGTCTTTTGATGGCAGTTTTATCTCATGGGGAACAAGGCATTATTTATGCTAAAGATGGAGCTTATAAACCGGAAGATAATCTTTGGGGACGATTTACTGGTGACAAATGTGTTACATTAGCTGGAAAACCAAAGCTTTTTTTTATACAGGCTTGTCAAGGAGACAGATTGGATGGTGGAGTTCAGTTAAGAACACAAGTTGATGGATCTTCTTCATTCAAAATACCCGTTTATGCCGATTTTCTTATAGCGTACTCTACAATTCCTGGTTAGTAGTTATTATAGGTAGGCTAGGCTAGGGTTATGGCCAGGGTCCGGGCTTTTAGGCTAAATATTGAAGATAAAAGGCTATATAAGGTATATGATGTTATATGTATAATTTATTACTCTGAAAAAACACACAAATATTCTTTATATTATCTATAGAATAAATGAGAAAAATATGCAAAAATAATCTAACATCAAATAACATCAGAAAATGCTTTAATGGAGCACAAAACACAAAAAATATGTTTTTCAATTTGAAATTAATAATCGACCCTAAGAAAAATGGTGTATGTTTAACATTTCTACTAGCATTTTTCAATAAGTTATGAAGAATTGAACAAAAAAAGGTGTGACGTCATTGGGCATATTGCCTATCTCAAATGTGTAAAAGTTTCTTACTTGACACTATAATTTAATTACTTTTAAAGTATATTTTTGAATTTTTGTTGTATATTTGTGATATTGTATTTTTATGCACTGAAGACTCTTAAGTGGAACTAGAATTTGTCTATAGTTTCCAGTTTTTGTTTAATATTTAAAATATTATAAAATAAATTTGTGTTACATATAACTGTAACTGCAGCTGTCACTTATCGCGGCTCAACATAACTGGTCATTCTTGATTTCTTGATATTTAATAAAAACTAAATGTGTAAATAGCAGTTCTTATACTTCTATCGCCTTCAGCAAAAAAAAAAAAACACATTTATACATAAATAAGACTTTAAGGGTGGTAAATTATTGTGGAAGATAGGTAATTATATCGACATAGGCCAAATAACAAAACCCAGCTATTCTATGCACCCTAATATCACCTTAAGCAATGTTTTTTTCCGTTGTTTTCAATAGTTCTGATTACTATAGTTCAATATTAAATAATAACTTACAGAAAACCTTTTTTTGTGTTGTGTGCTCTTTTAATAATTTACATTTTTAAAACTTTTTTTTTGTTTTTAACAAAGTTTATACCTTTGTTTTTGTTTTTTAAACATTTATAAAAGAATTATGTATTATTTTAATATAAAAAATAGTGAGAAAAAATCACTAATTGTTGTAATGTTTTAAATGTATTAAATTATTAATATAATTAATAAATAAATTTGGTTTCAAAAATAAAATGAATAAATATTTTTTTTCATAATTTGCAATATATCCCATGATAATATCACTGATTAAATAAAACTGTTTTATATAATCTGTAATAATATTATGCTAAATATACTAAATATTCCCCAACTGCTAAAATATTCTGAAATATTAAAAAAAAAATTTCCCTTGGAAATTGTGTTGAATGAATCATCCACATGTTTTATTATTTTAAAACTGCATAGAAACATAAATATCTGGACTCTCGTTATAACTATAATATATGTATTGTATTGTATTTTTAAATGAATAAGAACTTAAACTTTTAATTCAAAATATGCGCTTGCAACAAAATTATGGTTTAGATAATTTTGGTGTTTTTATTTATTTAAGTTGAAGTTTTTTTGAATTTAATGTAAATAATATTATATTAAGATAAATAATTTATTTTTTATTTTTATGTTAAATTATATTTTCTTCACATTTCATTAATTTTATCTTTTTTCAGGTTTTTATTCTTGGCGGAATACTCAAAAAGGCTCTTGGTTTATGCAAGCTCTTTGTGATGCTTTCAATAGATATGGTTATCAACTAGACCTTTTAACTATTCTGACATTTGTGAATCGTCAAGTGGCTCTGGACTATGAATCTAATGTTCCTGGTACTGTTCAAATGCACCAGCAGAAACAAATACCATGCATTACATCAATGTTAACAAGATTAGTAAAATTTGAAAAGAAAAATTAAAAATGTACATTCATTAATAACATTCCTGTTGAATAAGAAAAGTATGGTTGTTGTACACCCCATAGAACATTCATTAAAGCACAAGTCTTAATGTAAATCGTTTTGATTTACTAAATTATAATTTATTTAGAAACTGGTTCAGAACAATTGTGTTATTAGAATCTCAATTATTTTTAACTAATATCTGATATCAGTTTTAAATTACAGTTTTAGAAAATCATTAGTACTGTTTTCAATTAAGTATTATTCAAAAATGTGTTCAAAATTATAAAAGATTTAAAGTTAAGCATAAAAGATACTGTGATTTAAACTCTCGCTAATTTACTTTAAGTAACTAAAACTACTTTTCGATAGTACTTAATTTTTTTAAATAGACGATAATATTATATTATCGTAGAACAAACCTGATGAACTAGTGATATGTTTTTTTTTATATATTTTTCAATTTTTTGGTTAGTTTATTATTAAAGAATTTTACCAAAAACAATTCTTACGAATCAATTTTGTTATAACATTGAATAACTATAACAATATATATTTTATTCCCATATCATTTATATTAATCTACCTCTTTACTATTATTTGTAGTATTTTATAATAAAATTATGAATATTTATAAGTTATCCTAAATACACCTTAATCACAATAGTTATATGTACTTAATCTTAGTTATTAGTTTATATTTTACTAAAATTAGTCATTTGTATTATTAATATAAGAATACATTTATAATATTTTTGTTTAAAAACTCATTTAATTTATTTTTTAATTATTTTTTCCACACATTAAATTTAACTCTGAAGTCATTCAGTCATATGGAAATGACTAAATTATTTGCAAACTATAGAGTGATTAACAATTTGCTCATTCCAGTCTTTCAAATTAAGTTTTGATGTAATGCTCTATTACTTAATTGCTTCATTAAATCTCATTCCTAACTTTTTTTAAGTGTAAGTATGGAAAAATAATTATAATATTAATCAACAAAATAAAAATTCATGTTTTCATATTTTTGTACTAAGTAATTCAATAATGTTTTACATTTGAAAGTGAGTTATTTTTTTAGACATAAATTGTATTTTTTCATAATAAGACATTGTTACACCTATTTTATATTTTATACATTATTGATTTTAGTCTTGAATAATATTTTGTTTTAATAAACATACTTTTGTGATTATTTTTGTATATTACTTATTTTAGATTCTGAGCGGAGTACTGTATTAGTTTTACAATGATGTGTGATGATTTTTGAAATAATCATTTTCAATGATTACTATCTCATATTATATTCCTTCACATTCGTCATTCGTTATTAACTAACTTTACCGCATTGTATCAAAAATAGTATAAATTTGTTCTTTAGCCATATTATACATTTGTAACACACCAAGAAACTAAAAGATTAAATATAAACTCAAAATGTGTAGGTATAAGAACTTAATTTTATTTAATGTACCTACCAATGTTTTTTTTTAAATTATCGGCAGTGTGCTTTGTTCACAAACCTTTTTGATTGCTAATGTTGCCAATCAAAATACCATTTTTTCTATACTTAGGTGCTGAACTCCCACTAGACCACGATAGAACGGTTGTGATGTTTAACAGTTTAACACAATTAATTTTCAGACTATAATTTATATTTTATTTTCGACATCATTAGTATTCAGTAATCACTAATTTTAATTTTGATTGTGTAAGAGGCCGAAAAAATATGTTTCTTAATGTCAAAATTATCAATGTTAAAATCCTAATATTAAATACAACTAATTAGGTAGGTAATTACATTTAAATATTTAATGAAATGTACATTTACGATTTACGATTAGGTATATTGTAATATATTGTATATGATGTACCTATTTAAAATGAAAAAGTCAATAAAAAAATAAGACTTCCTATATAATTATTAAAAAGATATGACCAAAATTCAAAATTAGTAATAGAAAAAAATATGATTATAAAATTATTTACACTGTACTTTTGCCAATTATTGCTGCTAGAGGATCCAAAATTTTAAGCCCTGAATCGTGGAATGTAGACAGAGGAATGTAAGACATGATTTGATTTTATATTATTGCGGAATAATTAATTATATTGCATATAGTTTGTATGATAATTAATAACAGGTACTTAAATGTATATAGTCATATCATATCTATCAAAGTATCAAACTTCCACGAACATTAATAATTTTCACACGACTGCACTAACAACACTTAGTGTGCATTAAAGTGTGTTCGCCATATCTAAGTAGGTAAATACCTGCACTCGTTACCGTAAGTACCTGCGTAGGTACATGTTCACACACAGACACAGACTGTAAACGGTGAAAAAAAACCGTTTTGATCAGTACGATCTATACATAATACATATTATGTACAAATGATACGTTGGTATTGTACTTCTTAATCGCGTGCGTAAACAATCGCAGTGAATTTAGAACAAACGATGCCCTTGAATTGAAATTATTAGGCATATAATGTACTTCAACGTGTATGCCGCACATACTACAGACTTATAAATTATAATTGTTTTTTCTTTTCTATTTGTTCGAACAATTGGTAAACGGCACTCGCGGTACCGATTTAATTATGTGGTTGATTGCCGATTGGTATAATATAACACCTATATACCTGGTATAAGTATAGACTAAATTATAGACTACAATAGGTTTAGACGAAAATCGTTATCATATTTTTGCAAAGCAGAATAGATTTTTTTCTGGACGAAGGTGATGCGAATAATACTATGTAGATAATTATCTATACAATCGTCAGAGAGATCATATCATAGGTTATTCGTACTTCGTAGACTCTGGAGGTTTATTGTCTCACACTTTCGCTGTCATCATACTTATTAGTTATTTCCTACATGCCTACATCATCCTATAAATAATACGTATTTGTAAGTTTAACCAAAATTATATTATGTGTGTGTTTGGGGGGGGGGGGGGAAATCTAAAAGTTGAAATACTCGAAAAACTGAAAAACTTCGGGGTGTGGGAGGTAGTCTCTCCCACAGACTCAACGTTAGTACATCATGCTGACTTAATAGATAATTTAGTTATTACCAAGGTAGGTACTTCTTATTATTTCTTAGAGTTGACTAGCTGATGACGATGCTTGTACGCTACTTAAGTAAGGCACCATTAAAAAGTATCTATATTGCATAGTGTCATTAAGTCATGAAGCATGACCTACAGCTCCTATTTCTATAATATATACCTATTATATAAATGTACATCTAGTGACAGGAACTCAGTTTATTTTACCGATATTTTTTTATCATATTCACTATATTATTTTACTATTTTTATTTTTACTTATATCAATTTATTAGCTTAATATAAAAATGCTATGGTCATGACCAGGGCTCGAGACTTATAGCACTAAAAAATCATGAAATATGCGCTATTATATGCACCGAAAAATGTAAAATGTGCGCTATAATATGCACTCAAAATATGAAAATATGCTTTAAAAATTATTTATTTAAAATTTTTATTTAGACATTTATGAATTTATAATTATTAAAATTTAAAGAAAAATTTTTTTATAATTTTACAGTTTTAATTTTCTACAAATAATGACTTAAAAATCTTTCCTGCTCTCATTAATTTGTATGTGTCAAATTTTGTCAATCTGTAAAATATAATTATTTAAAATCAATAAATCATTAAAAAGTAACTTACAGTTTGTACCTTCATAATTTCACTGTATTATTATGTATTTCCGAATATTTTCAAACTTGAAAGATCTTCTGTTATTGCTTAATAATGTTTTGTACACGGAAAATGAGCGCTCTACATCGACCGATGTGATGGGAGCGTTAGACCATTATTTTTTTCAAAAACATTTTTTAGTTTTGACTGTATTTTTGACCCAATTTGACCACGTAGTGTTTCGAATGATTTTTCTACATCATTTATTATTTGAATTGAGTCAAATGATAACAAATCCTGTTCTTGTAGTTTTTTAAAGATGTAGTCAGAGTTGAAAAATTTGATTTGATAAAAATAAGGTCTGTATTTATACAGTTTTTATTGATGTATTTTTTTTCCTCTTTGATGCTGACTGCATCGTCATTGTCAAATTTTTCAAAAACAGAACGAATAATATTTAAATTATCGCAGTAATAAATATAGGCCGTTATCCATGTACCCCATCGGGTAATGATAGGTTCTGTAGGAAGACTTATTTATTATTTTTCACAATTTACTTTAATTTCACAGTATATTTGCAGACAGGCGCGGATCCAGCCCGAGATTAGGGGGGGGGGCGAATATTTTACATACAAAATAAAATATCTAATAAAATATAATATGTGGCCAAGCGCACATATTTGTGTTCAAAAATAACTTACACGAAACAGTTATGGTTAATACAACTTTATAATCAATTGATAAATTCCAAATAATGAACTTAAAACTAAAACATGAGCCATGAATATAAATATTAAAAAGATAAAAAACGTACATAGTCACTAAATTTAAATTACAAAATCAAGTCTTCTATTAGATTTTGCAAATACATCAATCACATCCTCAGAGTTTATTGTTATATCACGATGAGCATGTAGTAAAGCCAGTCCATTCAATCGATCTTCCGAAATTCTTGTTCTCATCCATGTCTTTATCCGCCTCAGAGATGAAAAATTGCGTTCTGCTGATGCAGTGGTCGCTGGTAATGTCAAAAGTATATTTAATAGAATATTGATTTCAGGAAAACAGTCGTAGTCACAACGTTTTAAAGCATCAACATGAGTCACAGGTAGTTGCTTTTCGTTGAGCCAATATTCGTGCCAAAGGGTTAATTCTCCAGTTATGCGTTTTTCAAATATATCATGAGATATATTTAAATAATTTGATACTACATCACCAAATTGATTAACCACGTTTAAAATCTTATTTTCTATTTTAGTCTTATCGTTAAAAATATCTTTTTTCTCAATTATATTTGGCAGGACTACATCAAGATCATATACTGATAGTGAAGCTTCGTCAAATCTTGATTCTAAATCAGCTAATAATTCATCCAAAAAAGGAATAAAAAGGACAATTTTATAGTATTTTTCAGCTGTTTCTACTTGAGGATTTTCTCTATTTTTCATCGAGCTTGTTAATCTTGGCATATTTATGTCTGATAGTCCTAAATTGACTAGCTTTTGTTTTGTGTTTTCAAATATTTTATTGAAACATTCATCACTGTTCAAACGCTTCTTTTTCAAAACGGAAATTACAGATTTAATTAATGTCGTAGCTGATAATTTATCTTGACTTTTAGATTGTAACAATTTAGCGATTGGTGATGTTATTATAAACATTTCAGAAACAATATTTAGCGTTAAAAGAAACTCAGGAGTAGTTACTGATTTAGATAAACAAAATGCCTTAGATGCGGTGCTAATATCATCCCAGTCTGATATTTCATCTAAAGCATCAATTATTGAACCTAGTCCTGAAGAGAACTGTAATATACAATCGTATTTTTCTACCCACCTAGTTTCACATAAAGATTGCAATGAGGAATTCAAAGTTTTTTTCAAAACAAAATTTTTTTTAGCTGAAGAACTGAAAAAATGTATAACTTCTTTTATCAAACCAAAAGCGTTTCTTATGAATTTGATTTTACATCCTTTCATAATCGATAAATTTAGCGCATGACTATAACATGAACATTTTATTGCGTTTTTCATTTTTACTCTTAACATATTTACAGCTCCACATTTTTCTGATAGCATGACAGAACAACCGTCTGTTGCTATTCCAACACATTTATCAAGAGGTAAACCAAATTTATCTAAAATATTTATTACTGATTTACTAATTAATTCACCGGTGATTTTTGGTTCAACTTCTCTTCCAGTATTACTATAATTATCCTGGTGGCAATCTAAAAAACCAATAAAATCCTCAAATACTTCATTTTCATAAACATACCGAATAACTGTAACTAGTTGAGAAATTTTTGACAAATCGGTTGTTTCATCGAAAATAACGCTGTAACATTTAGATTGTTTCACTCTGTCTAAAACTTTTTTCAAAATCAAATTTCCCATGATAAATATTAGTTCATTTTGTGTAGTTTTACTTATATATGTAGCTCTAGATTGAGTAGTTAAAAGATGATTTTTTAAAGTTTCGTCTCCAGCTGATATTCTGAAATTTAACAACTCTCTGAAATTTCCTTTATTTTCCGACGGAGTATCAGAATCGTCAAATAAACTACCATCATCACGATGCCCCCTAATAGCAATATTCTGTCGACCAAGAAATGCTATGGTTTCAATAATAGGTTTTAATCTAGCCCTATTTTCTAGAACTTGTTGATGACGTGCACTATTAAGTATATTAATTACTTCATTTTTAGGATTGTAATAATTATTTAAAAATGCTTTTCCATCTTGAATGGAGTTCTTATGATAAATATTTTTATTATGTGTTTCGAGGTACCCATCTTTCCCAAGTAATTTTGCGAATTTGATTAAAGGATTAGATACAAGACATTTTAAGGGCATTACGTTATTTGACCCAGTGCCAGTTTTCGTGTGATTAAAAATTGCACAGTAAATACAAAATAAACCTCCTTCTGATTTTGATAAAACAAGCCATTCATATTTATCTAAATGCTCTTTTTTCACATATCTTTTTTCAATACAACCATTTTTTTTATGTGTAGAAAAAAGATAGTTATAACAACTTGGTGGTTTCCAATGATTTTCTAATAATTCTTTTTTTACTAAATCCGTAATAATTGTTTTTGATTTTAAAACAAAGCCTATATCTAGTACATCATAAACATAATTAACTTCTTGTTTTAACTCACGTGGTTGCAGTTCCACACTATTTAAAGTATCTATGATAGAACTATTGTCAACATCGGCAGATATTTTTTCATACTCATTATTTGATGATGATTGATTACCTTTACTTGGTTTACTCGCTACATCATTTTCAATAATTTTGTTGGGGTCACTTTTATTTTTTTTTAAATAATTTAACATGAAATCCGCACTTCTTTTGGACATGGTAATATTATTTGAATTAAATACAGGCGAAGCGTAAACTTAATTGAAAAAATATTCAAAACTTGATAAATAAATCAAGTCGGTAATTAGACGAGACTGTAAAAATTATGAGATAAAATTACGAAAAAATATTTAAGAAAATATCACGACGCGATGATGTTTTGTTCATTACTGATAGCTATTTGCCGTACCGCCCGCACCGTGATAATGCTATGGCGTTGTCCATCGACTATCGTTATCGCTAATTCCAAGAATAGCTCTGAACGTATTACGTCAACATACCTAATTCTTATTATTATTATTTAGTATTTGAAATAAAACTATACTATAACTTTACAAGATTACAACTGTATATTATAAGAATAATATATAAATATAATATATTTATGTATACAATGATTGTCGAGATCGCCGTCATCGACAGTTTTCTGGGAAAAAATAACGATTACTTGTTAAAAATGAACGAAAATAAAATCCGAATCCACCGTTGAAAAGAAGACGTTTCACTGAATAACCACGTATATAAACGGAAGAATTGATCTGATAACCGAGTAAATTATAAGGCCAAAAATAAGCCTATACAAATTGACAATTGTCTACTACCCGTCGACTGCGGCACTCAACGTATTAAAATTAGTTTTAAATCTTTTTACTGGGCATTTTTCCTAAACAAAACACAGTTTACGGGGGGGGCGGCCGCCCCCTCCGCCCCCTACTGAATCCGCGCCTGTTTGCAGAAAAGAATAGATGAATCGTGTGAAAACGTATCTGAACCGAATTCTTGTACATAGTTTCTTAACCATCGGCCTAGTGATAATTTATCTTTTGGCATGGTACAAAAAATATGTATTAATGAAAAACAAAAAGCTGAACAAAGAAAAATGTATAAATTCACAAATTCACTATACGAATAAAAACGTACTTTACGTACATACGAGCGCAATCAAAAGTCGACGTAAACTAATCGATTACGTCGTTGTAGATCGGAACAGTCTATAATTATTGGGTGTATAAGTAAGTATGGTCGAAGTCGATAACAGAAACAACATTAAGATAAAAGATACGATAAACGGAATATTGTCTTGCATTGGGATATTTTAGGAATATTTTTTTCAATCGACAATGAGTTTTATAACGTCCCAAAACTCTCGATCACTGATTAGTGGCCGAAATATGTATTTTTGCAGGACTGTGTTTTCGATTTTTACATTAATTAGCAATAAATAGCAAAATAGTCGAAAAAATAGCAAAACTTTCAGAATATGCAAAAATATGCACTAAAAACTTTTGGTATTGAGTTCATTTTTGTCTGAAATGGATTTATTGCTTACTCTGCTATCTTTTCATAAACTACAAAAAGCAAATGCTTCCATTCTCGAGCCCTGGTCATGACTCATGAATAAGCTGATACTTTTTGGTTTTTAGCGAATCTGAATTCAAGGCTCTATTATATGAGGAGTTTATTCTCTTAAAGTATAAATATAAACCTTACAAGTTATCAGGTCCTTACTTAAACTTTTTTTAAACTTTTTAAAAAATAGAAAATAATTATTATTATTCTGGCTTACATTGTCCATCAATAATCTTATGAGCTGTGGATTGATTTACCATTTTATCGTTTTTAAATTGATATTTAAATTCTTCACATGTCATTAAAATCTTCATAAAAAAATATAAGGGCACCTTATTATATAACAAGTATAGTATGTATAATCTATAGTATTATGTTTTGTTAAGAAATCATAGCCAATCAAGGTAAATGTTGTATTTTTGAACAATTGGCCACTTAAAAGCTTACAGCCTCGAAAAATGTACTGAAACAAAGAACCTATAATCTACATACATTATAATACCTAGGTACCTATAAAACTTATTAATTATTATACTTTATATCCAGTATAAAATAATATAATGTTATCTCTTCGCCGATTATTTATAGGTGGTGTATACAATTTTCATCCTAATCATAAGGCAATTAACTTAGGTAATATCTATCGCAGTCGGCATAAAAAAAAAAAAAAATAATAATTTTCCGAACAATAATAATACTAATGATAGTAATAAAATACGTAATATTATAATAGATATTAAACTGTCCAGTGCATGTTCTTTATAGAGCCAGTGGACTATGGCACGAGGTTATGATGTAAACCCCGTAGGTATCGCATGACTATAAATGCCTTACTTAATCACAAACGTTGAGACTTGATCCCATTCTTGCACTTTTAATGTTCTCCAGCAGACCGTTTATATCGGTTGCGAGCGAGCTGGAAATGACATCCAAATTGCCCGCGTAACGCGTTTAATGATTTTCCCCGCCTGCACTTTGCACAAAGCGCCACATGTCGTCATAATTAATTTTAGGATAGGTATATAGCCCAATATAGGTATTACGGTAGTTACCTACCACCAGAATAATTTACGCATAGGTATCAATACATATTTTCTACTATTTTAAATAAAAGTACCTATATTATCTGTAATATACCAGCTGTGAAATACCTGTATTGCCTACCATACAGGTTATGTTAACACTTAAGAATGATCCTGTGACAATTCAAATTTCAGTTTTTCAAATAGGAACTTCTTTTTTTCATTATTAGGCAGATATTCTTTTTGAGAATTTTGATGTATCCTAATCAAAATTCAAGCTAGTAGTTTTTGAGTTATGTAACTTTGTATTTTAAGGATAATTTGTTTATGATAAGGTGTAAGTAGATAAGGGGCAGTACATTTGAAAAAGTTAGCAATTACTATTGATTTCGCAATATCAATAATTTGTAAACATGTTCCAAGTATAATAAACACTAATTACATATAGTTTTTTTTTTATAAAACTATTTTTAAGGATTATTATTCGTAGTATAAACATTAAATGTTAATAACTCAGAAACTTCTCATTAGAATTTTGATTTAGATACATCATCATTTTCAAAAAAAAAAATTGTCTAAATAATTTTCAGTAAAAAAATGGGTTGTAATTCGAACAATAGAAGTTTGTATTAACGCAAGATACTCCTTTAGTAGTACAAAATATATTAGACATTTGAAAATAATATTGTATTTAGGTCTTGGTACTTAAAAATTCTAAAAATCAGAATTTGAATAAATGTACTATTAAACGTAAAATTCACCTTGTATTAGAGTATTTATAGGTAACCAAATACCATCTACCTTCAAACATCAAAGTTATAATTCATTATAAAATATAATCCATACACTATAATAAATTATGATAATATTATCATAGACGCTATAGTATTGTACGGCATTTCTTATACTTCTATATAGTATAAATAAACGTCGTTTACAAAATCTACAAGTCTGCTCTGTATAATTATGTAATATGCTGGGTACGTGTGAACATTTTTAGTATTTGTGTAACCGTGTAGGTATTGTATTTTGTAAGTACCTACTGCCTAGGCAATTACATTATTATTATTGTATACTCATTATAGGCATTAGTGTATAACTATTTATTTATAACCGAACAAAAAATGATTGAAATTGCATAAGTTGAGTAAATACAAAATTATAATATTCCATATAGGTGTTCACAATCTGAACGATCGGCTGCATACGAATAATAATATATAAAATATGAACAATACATATTATATAATTTCTTCCCACTTTTATAGACTGAAGACCGTCATTTGTATTATAACGATGTGATCAAAAATTTTAATTATATGTTGTTTTAAAATGTATTTATTGATTTTATAAAATGGGTAAATTGTTGAACGAACGCAAGAAGCGATACATTTTTGTTTTCAAACTGAGTCATAGTTTTTTAAAATAAATTCTTCTTTTTCTACACACTTTTTTCATTTGTTCGTTGAATTTGAGTTTAGCATTTTAATATAAACGTCAGTTTGAATAATTTTCAATACTTCTACAAATTGGAAAATGTTAAGATACCGAGAATAACCCCATTTAATTTTGAGTGAAACGATTCACATGCGTTGGTGCACTAACGAGTTTGAATTTAAAGAGCAGAGTTGAAATTAAAAATATTTTGTTGGATAATGTAAGTTAAATGATTAAATGTTGAAGTGTGACTGATGGCAACATGAACAAAATTAGTTTCCCGCGATAAATAATTGTAAGATAAGGTACATTAATCGAGGTCATCTACGAGTTTTCGCCAACACTATTCTCAGCAGCTGAAAAACCCGTGGACGCAACTCGGACAAAATGACGTCATTTATGGACGCAATTCGAATGCACCGGTATAATCCTATATTGCTATATTTTCTCTTTGCTCCTTTTCTCGACGACACTTCATGTAAAATTATCATTTTTGTGCGTGTATGATAAAACTAAATCGCCACCATGTAAGCGTTGAATAACTTATAAAACATATAAAAAAAAAATGTAATCTTGTATGTACCTATTTTATAAAATGTAATGTAAATCTCAGGACTTTATTTTAGAACTAATTTTTCAATGCAATAGCCAATATTTGCATTAAAATGTATTATTTATTTATTATTATCATACATATTCATACATAAATACATAAAAATAGTATATGAAAATATAAAATAAACACGATTATTCAATGATCGATCTGTTTTTTTCAGTTGTCGGGTTATTATTTTTTAATTTACATTGCAAATTTGCAACAATAAAATACATGTTTTGTCTTGCAAATTAGTCATACATTTTATTTACAAAACTGTGAGCCAGTAGAATCGATATATTTATTTTTTTTATTAATCTCAAGCTTGACAACTATGACCATACATTTTTTTTTTGTCACTAATTTACATTTGTACATAAGATTTTTATTATAGTTATTATATTATAGTTGATGTCTTGATGATGATCTTCGAAAACTCGGTTACTACCTATGCTATTACAATGAAACTTGTCTTGTGCGGAATTGCACGGGACCAATAAAAATGTCCGTTTTAGGCAGGTTTCCTTACTACTGAATAAAAAGGAAAATTCCTAATATTCTGCACGAATAAGGTCGTTACATTTTCCGGCCAATAATAAAAAATATCATAGGCTACATATCATAGGCCTTAACTTCAACAAATCTTTGAAGACATAATGAGAACAAATACAACGATACGAAACGACAGGTAAACTACGACTGCGGTGACAATAATAAGCACTGATGCGTAGATTCAAGATAAAATGTACTTATCTGTCGATACGCATTAATCGCTGACCTTAATAATTGTTTAGTAGCAAAATAAATGTGGGTATCAAAAATATTTTTGTTCATTTTATGATGTGTTTTTCCGTGTATATGAGGTGTATATATGATTTGCGGGACCAATAAATAAGTTTCTGTTTTACGTTAGACAGGTTCCGTTTTATCAAGGGTTTAATCCTATGTTAAATTATAGAAATCTGCCGGAACCATAATCAATTTCCGCACAGAAAAGGATTCCGTCTTATCAAGGGTTCGGATAAGGCAGGTTTCACTGTATTATTATTAATTTATTTTAGCATAATTCAATTTATTACAATACAATAATATTAATAATACTAAGAGCTGAATCGTATACCTACTGAGCTAAGCTTTCATCTGGTATAAATGCATTACATTTTAAATAAATATTTTATATTACCGATAAAATGTTGAACTATAGAAATTAAAAAGTTATGGTTTTTGAACTATAAGTAGATACATGATTATGGGTAGGTAGTTTGGTTAATTGGAGACGTAATAGTAAAATTGATAAACCGATGCCATTTTTAATTCTAGGTTTTGTAATTCAGTAATTGGTACATTTGTAAGAGTAGTGGTAAACCAAATTCAAGCCAAGAGAATTAACCATTATACTGCGATATAGGCATAAATACGATAGGAAACAATCATAAACTAATACAATTAGTAATTTCCATTTTAATCAACAGATCGTGAGTTGCAGTTTTGTATTGATTTGCTCTGTAAATATCAATAAAACTAGAACTAGGCTACTAATAACTATGTAATATTATGCCACAAGCATTAATGTTAATTGATAGGTACGCGGGTGTTGATATAGAGAAATTAAACATTACAAATATTGGTTCACTGTTGCAAGTTATTAAATTATCACAGTTATTCGAGAAAACCATTATTATTTTTTCTTATTTATATCTCTCCCCATAACGAAATTTAATTTAAACTTCAATTATAAATACATATACCTAATTATAATTTATAGCAATGAGCTAATGGTTTAAAAAATGTTTATAGAATTGGATAATAATAATATGTAATCTACGATTTTGTGTGTTGATGGCCGATGAGCGCTGACCATAATAATAAAACTATAAAATACTTAAATACCTAATGTGATTACAATGTAATTTGAATCACTTATAGGGAAGAAACGGAACCAAGGTCCTGGAAACTTACAGTCATTATTCATGTAGCTGGTTAAT